CCCCAAAACCCCAAAACCCCAAAACCCCATTTACTGTTATCATAATGAAATTGAAGATTAAAAAAATCGTATTATTCTTAATTTTTCATACATTAATCAGCAGGAATTCAGATCTCTTGCCATCTGACCTATGAAACAAAATAGTCTAATCTCTCAAATCAATAGCCTAAATCTATTTTTTTACCTCATTTTGAATTTGGATTTACTTCTATGGGGATTCTATTTGATAAAGGTAACTATGACTGTTTATCTTCTTTTTATTTGGATCCTATCTTTCATTAATTAAATTTGCTCTTAGTTTCTCTGAAGAAGCTGATTCTTACTTCTACTTAATTGGCGTTATATAAGAATGATTGAACTCTTAAGCTAGAGGTGCACTTTGAATTTATATTGTATCTTTTTTCTCTTCCTCTACAATTTAAATTGAAAGAGTTTGAGCAACATTTTAAGAAGGTATATTAATAAGATCTTCAGAGTCAACAATGACAAATTCATTATTAGGACTAACTTCTTGAAATTCCAAAATTTTGTCTTGTATCAAGTGGCAGCCAAGGATTCCATGACCACCCCAGTCATTTCTAGGTGTAATAATGACTTACCTTAAGCTTTTTGTTTTATTATTGTAGATAGTCATATTTACTTGCTAACCAATCCTCTCAATTAAAAAATCACCAATTTACGATACTTATTGAAATTAAGTTTAGTCATTAATTGCTATCAAGTAATCAATGCCAATATTTATTCCTAATTCAGCATAAAAGGCAGGAGAATTTTCTTGGACATCATATAATCTGTATACATAGAGATGTGCATTAGTGTAATTTTCAAATTTCAAATCAGCTCCAATATAGTTTTAACTATTCGCTAGCTTTTTTGGAACAATCTTGACTTTTCTTACAGAACTAGTCATAAAATTATAAACTTCAAGTTCTACTTCTTTTGTCATATTTTTAAAGAAAAGTTCTGAGAGGAGTTCCCCATTATTTAATTCCGGATTATAGAGAATGAAATCGAAAAATTCTAATAAGCCTGCTTTTTCGGCTGGTGATCCTGGCTAAATTTTTATGACTCTGTAGGCATAGTCCTTGTAACTTTAATCCTATTAGTTTCCCATTATGAAAAAATTAATTAAAATTAAATTATTGAATTAAAATGAGTTGGGTTTTAAACTATAAGTAATCAGCTATTGAAGGTATAATGATGAAGTAAGTTCCATCTTACTAGCTGAATGAACGTCCAATGACTACTAGCTTCGGAATAGCAAATTTTAAGAGCATCTAGAAATCTCCTAGAAGTATAAAGAGTTCAAGTAGTGTTGTACGAAGCGAAAAGCATAAGTACTTCAGAGAATTGAATAAAGACACAATTTCTAACAAGTATAGCAAGAATATGAATTAAATCTATCATGCATCTGATAGGACTAGGATTTAAACCCCATAAACATTTTTTACTAAAACTTAATCAAACTTTCACACAAATTCTACTAAAGAACACAAAACAAAGCATAATTATCATGAAGATTATGATCCTCGAGAAGTTGATCTTTTTGATACAATTCAGTTAGAAGATTAGTAAATGCAAAATCAATAGAAAATGAGCAGAACTCTAAAAAGAAATATGCTACAAACCTAGACTATTTCAAATAATGATGATAATCGAAAACCTTTGATATCAAAATAATTGGTCTAATCATTTTCTACTCATTCTCTAATTAATTCAGAGTTTAATAATGATTTGATTTCGTCTGGTAAATCTATCAAACAGGATTTAAAGCCAGATTTATAATTCGAAAAAAAGAATCAACTTAAAAGAAATAATCTTGTAAAGTTTAAAATACATTCGAATAGACTCTTTGTACCATTGACTGATAAGCCTCAATTCAAACATGTATTTAGGAAAACTCCAGCAGAACTTTTATACAAAGGTGATAATGAAAAGATATAGTCATTAACAAAGAGAATGTTTTCAGTTTATCAGAAATAGGATAAAGAGCGTGAAAAAAGGGCATTTGAATTTAAGCTTAAAAATTCATTAGTGTCAAAATTTGCTGGGACAATGTAAAGACCAGAGGAAGTATAATTTTGCAAGGATGTACTAAATCATTTGACTAAAGTATCAAAATCAACAGCAATCATTCCTTATTCAATAGCTTTAATTAATCCAGATAATGGATTAAGAGAGTAAATACCAACAAATTACAATGATAAATTGGAATCCAAGGAGATAGAAGTAGCATAAAGTATGGTAAAGTAATTTAAAGAAAAAGCCAGATAAGTTGGAGTCTTCAACAAATAGATAGAAACTGAGACGAGCACTATTAAGAAGCAAAGAGTGAGTAAATATCTTAAGAATGCTATGGATTAACTCAAAAGTATGAATTTCGCTGAAGATGGATCGCTAGATGAAGATACAGTTTATTGGAAAGATCAATTCTTTTATCACGTGAAGTAAAATAATATATAGGATGTCCAAAAAATATTAAGAGACAGCACAAATATGATAAATCTTCTAGATAGAGTAAAAATCATTTCAAAACTTAATTTAATGAATAGAATAAAATGACAGCTCTTCATTGGGCTGTGAAGAGAAATTATATATCTATGGCTGAAATGCTACTTAAAAATGATTCTAAAAAAGATTCATAAGATATCCTTGGCAGAACACCTATTCATTTGGCTGCGAAGTTAAACTATTTTGAGATGACAAAGGTGAGTCTTATTTAGGAGTGGATTAATTATTAATTTTTATAGTTACTTTTAAGATATAAGACAAACTTGAACATAAAGAATAAAAAAGGCTTAACTCCTGTAGAAATAGCTGGTTCTGATGATATCCTAAATCTTATTAGCAAAGCTATGAGGTTAGGAGTGATTCAAAGACTTTCTTTGAATAGACCATCAAGAGCTCTTAAGGAAGCTGAACAAAAATTGTTTAGGGCAGCGGGGGAAGAAAGTGACTGAATAAATATACTATTATGTTTATATGATGACAATATTGCTTAATTAATGAACATTTGAAATAACCTTGTAGATAAGTGATTTATAGTGATTATTATATGTATATCTACAAGGAATGTTAATATTTATACTTAATGGACAGTATAAGCCTATCATACTTTCATCACACTCGGCTTAAACTTTAAATAAGAAATATTATTATCAGTTCATTTCCATTTCCATCTCTGTGTTGAATAGATTCTCTAAAGTTTCCATATCAGTGAAATAGATTTGATTCATAGCCTCTTGGAACATTGCTTCATTAATTGCTACATTTTAAGTAAAGGCTTCGCTTGAACCGTCACCTTAAGCAACTCCTTCTTAATTTAAGGTTTTGTCTGGAATATTAAGAGTGATCAATAAGTCAGTTTTAAATTGTTTTAATCTGATCAAGAGCATGATGATAGAAACAAAGTCTCTTGTATCATTTACTTTCTTGTTTGGAATAATCTTTTAGGTTCCCTTAAGAATGAATGCCTCGGTTCCCTCACTAAATAATCAAACTATCTTAAATTACAGCTTTTAGAATGAAGGTAGTTCATGTGGCTCGACCTTTCTTTGATAGAGGATAGTTGAATCTTCGGCTTTGTTACACTCAATTAGATCATTGAAGTGATATGCTATTGATTCTTCATCAGTAACTTACTGGTACTCCAAAAGCTCAATGATCAGTTGGGCATCATTATTGACATTAGAAAATACTTCTTAATTATCACTCACTGGTACATGGGAGCTATATGTGGGATTATTTGTTTTCTATAATATGTACCTTATGTCAGCAAATTCTAATGGAAGTTTAATAAAGAGAGCACCTCCGAATAGATCTCTGAGGCTCCATTAGTAATTTGATCTTACGAATTCTGGAAGATTTTACATTAATAATTATATTAATGAGAACTTCGTTGGATTAAGTATTAATTATATCAAGTATAATTCTTCGATGCATAATTCCAATAAAATTCTTGGGGTTTTGGGGTTTTGGGGTTTTGGGG